GTGTGTGTGTGTGTGTGTGTGTGTGTGTGTGTGTGTGTGTGTGTGTACAAAGTGGAATTCTAGCTGGGCTTTGATGGAAACTCAGGAATGCCCAGGTAGGCAGGGTGTGCCTTCCAGGTTTGGGGGACAACCTACACAAAGACATAGAGATGGGTGCTGGAGTCTCCTGCTTGTGGAGAAGCATCGTTTTGACTGGAACCATTATCCTGGAGCTGCTCCTGCTCTCTGCAGGGATCTGCTTTAATAGCAGACAGAAGTTTATGCAGCATGGGTTCTCCCCTCCTCGGTGTCTACCAATGTTTGCTAGCCCCCTCTGACTCCACCACTGAGGTAAAAAAAACCTTCTTTTTTTTTTTTTAGGCAGTTGAGATTAAGTGACTTGCCCAGGGTCACACAGCTAATAAGTGTCAAGTGTTTGGTCTGAGGTCATATTTGAACTCAGGTCCTCCTGGCTTCAGGGCTGGTGCTTTATGCACTATGCCACCTAGCTGCCCCCAAAGAACCTTCTTGAGAGATTTTTTGATTGCTATGAGGTCTGACATTTAGGATGGTATAATCACTAACTCACATTCATTTGGGGCCCCCAAGTCAGAAAGATCCAGATTCAGGTTTTGCCTCTGGCACACGCTGGCTAGTTGATCCTGGATAAATCATTTAACATCTCAGTGCCCCAGGCTACTCCCTAAAGAGTAGATTATAGTGGAGTTCCTGATTAAGTTGTCATTTGATAGAGGATGTTTCCACACCTGGAATTCCCAACACTAATAAAATCACAGCTCCTGATGGGAAAAAACCAAAGAAATAAATCCTCTGGCATTGGCCAGGGTTTCAGTTAGGTTAGGAGCTGGGAGCACAAAGATGGGCACAGTCTTTGCTTTCAAAGAGGTTGCAACTTAGTTGAGAAGACAGGATATATACATTGAAAGAGCAATAAAAATACACTAACTATTTTATGGAAACCTGTGAAACAACCCAAGCCTGAAAATGCCCAATAAGTGGTATGGATGGTAAAAGTTCTAACAGTTTAGTGAAAGGAAGGTTCAGTCACCAAGGGGACTGGGACAGCTAAGAAATTAGCCTCAAGGAGAATTTAATTTGGGCCTTAAAGGAAAGATGAGACTTAAATAAACAGAAAAAATTGGGGAAGGGAATTTCAGACAAGGAAGTGGGAATGGGCAGATTATGTCAGGGACCAAGAGCAGGCTGATTTGGGAAAACCATAGGGTTTTATAGGGAAAGATAAGCAAGGGAACAGGTTGCAGAGGGCCTTGAATACCAGGTTAGAGTTTAGACTTTGTTCTGTCAGCATTGAGGAGCCAATGAAAGATTTTTACTATTGTTATTATTACTAATGTATTATTATTATTACTGATGCTATGTTACAGGAACTGCACTAAGCCTTTCACAAATATTGTCT